CCCGGTGAGTCACTTAGGCATGTCATCTCTGGTTGTTCGGCTCTTTCTAACTCGGAGTACTTGCACAGACAGAATCTAGTAGCCAGGATTACATACCAGGAGCTTGCTCTGGTACGGTCTCATAGATCAGAAACTGCCTTATTATTAGTACTTGCCGGAAGCTGTGCTCGACAATGACCGCGTCAGGCTCTACTGGGACCGGGCCATCATCACAGACAGGACTATTCTTGCAAATAAGCCTAATATTGTGCTGATAGACCGGGCACAGTCAAAGATATTTTTGGTCGACATTACCATTCCGTATGATGAGAACCCCGTGAAAGCCGACAACAGATAAACGAACAAAATATCTAGACCTGGCTCACGAGGTGACCGAGATGTGGGGTGGATAGCCGACCGAAATTATACCTGTAGTCGATTCTACGAACGGTTAATCCCAGTCAACCTCTCGGATCATCTGAGGCGACTGGGACTCCGTTACGGACCGCTCTAAGCTCAAATGCAGAAGGCGGTGCTCCTCGATACCGCCCGCAACGTTCGCCGGTTTCTTTCCATTCCCCTAACCCTCGGCCGTTTGGTCTCCCCTGCCGAGGGTTTCCATCTGGTTGGCTTTTTTATTTATTTATGTATGTTTCAATGTATTTATTTTATTTTATTGATATTTATGTATGTTTATTATTTTCATTTACAACTATGTATTTATACAGATAAGAAAACTTTATAGATACCCCATAATAATAACCTTTATTATTTTGCGTGCAACATCCCCGTAACTACTCTAATGGAATTCCGTAAAGTAACTATTGATTGTAATAATTATTTTACACTTATTTTCTAATGGATGTCTTTTAAAATTTTCGATACATATACTAATAATACACTGGTATGCCATTGCGCAAGATACACAGCCAGTGGCGTGCAAAAGTACTAAATAAACTTATATAAATATAACTAGATTCTTGCACGTTCCAGCTACTACACATATCCTGCCTTATCTGGCAAGCAAGTAGATTGCACAACATTTGATTGCCTGTTATGTGTGGCAAGGGCGGCGAGGGAACCCAAACTTCATACCAAAAGTCACGTAAAATGCAAGCTCCAGTTTTCGTTTCATGTATGATGACTGATGGGGAATTGAGAAATTTAAAAAGTTTATTTATTTTTAGCAAGATTAGTAGTCGAGCAGTTCTCTGAATAGAAACTTATTAAATAACATGGTAATTGCTCTCGTGGTATACCTCTTACAAGATATAAGCATGCCATGAAGCAAATTGGATGCAATTTTATTTCTGTGTCATTTACTGGCACATGCCATTACTTGACATGCAAGCTACTTCTTCGATGACTTGTGTAGGCCCGCCTTTACGTTCTGTTAACTGGTATTATATTAGTTGATCTTTAATTGCTCGGATCTATTTAATAGTTATGATAGGATTAACACTTCATTGCAGCCGATCCCTGATAATAATCCCGTTTGAAATCAATATGTTCCCGCAAATTAATTACGGGACTAGCATAAGTCAATTAGTAACAATATTAGACAATTTAATCCGAAGGAAGCTTTTTTAAAAATTAGTTTTATTTCATTTGAAATCTAACATATAAATGCTCGAGATTAAAATAAACGCTATAAGTAAGGTTTTTTTATTTGTAGCCGTCAAAGAGAACTTAAAAAATCCGGAGAAGTTCGAATAGGACTCACACCCAGAAAGTTCCTTATGTCGAAACGGATGTCGCGAATACTATTATAATTATGTTTTGTTATTAAAATGATGTATCTATTCAATCTTAGCGTTAATCTTAGTGATAAAATTTTAAATTAACGATTTTCGAAAAAAATAATTTCTTTGATTTTAAGACCTTTGCAAGGTCTTCTTGGCAAATTTCATTATTATACAAATTTCTTATACCAAATATATCCTTACGTGTTAGCGAGTATCAAAATATATGACATCATAACCATTTGTCATCAAACGTATCTTTTGATTACGTTAACTAAGAAGCTCGATTTTATCAGACCTTCAAGGTACGTTGATAATAACTAAATACATCACTTTATTGATACATACTTGATATACAAGTCCCTGAGAGAGTATCTTAAGTTGGAAAGAAGGACACGCAAACGGACAACGAAGATTTAAAATATTCGTTATTATTATTAAAATAATGATTATATTCTACGATCCTATTTCATCTAAAGTAACAACTTACAATCACGGTTATAATTTATAAACTCTTTTTATATAATAAGGGTAACAAACGAGCAGACAGCCCACCCAGATGGTAAGTGGATGCTGTGGCCCACAGAAATCTACATTTATCATATATCATTTTGTGTAACGTATTTTAGAAGCGTCAGTAGCCTAATGGCAGGGCATGAACCGCGAACTCGAAAGGTCGTGGGTTCGAATCCACCATTCGACTACTGTCGTGAACCACTTCTAACACAAGCATTTTAATGATGAAACACAGCAGTATTGAGCTGCTATTGTACGCTGTTATTCTGTGAGAGAGTGGTCCTTCCCCGCTCAAGCTGACTTATAACTATAATACTCTGCAGAATGACTCTACTACGTATACTGTGGAAAAGTGTCGAATTTATAAAAAATATCCAATCTAACCTACTCCTTTCAGAATGATAAAAATATTTTAATTTTCTATGTTATTGTAGACTTATTTGAGATCCCTGAACTCTTAACCGGGGACCGGGTGAGTAGAAAAATTCAAATAACTTTTTTCTCCGCCGCTGATTTTTGACGCAATTTCGAGTAGCTGCCTCATTTCCCCTCCTCCGCCGTCAGTTCACTCCGCGACATCAAGGGAAATAGGCAGAGATAAATTATTGATTATTCGCTTTTTGTCTGGTTTACGTACATTTTTTTACTTAATTTTGTTGTTTTTTTGCATTGTCGTAAAATAAGTAAGTTTATTGCATGATTTTTTTCAATTTCATCGAAATATCACAAAATTATTCTATATTGTTTCAAATATAAACTTTGTTACATGATGTCGTCCGAAAATAAAACAGCATTGTCTAGAATCACTTGACCATGAACTGCTTGATGATGATAGACCATCAATGTCTTCAGACAGTAAAGCTGGAAGTGATATCAAACTGGCGAATTCTTCACCAGATGACATACAGAAATCAGACAAGACTAGTTAAGTGACCGAGAAACTTCGGATAATAACAGTGCCTTTTATTTAGGAAAGGATAAAAGTACGAAATGGAGCAAAGAACCTCACCACCAATCTGCCCGTGCTAGAAGTTTCAATATAGTAAATCAATCATCAGGACCTAAACAAGTTATATCTAGTGAAAGGGACATTATTGGAATTTGGAGACACAAAACTTCTTTGACGACACTATAATTGAGATTATTGTCGAGTATACCAACCAATACATTGCTTCAGTGAAAGATAATTATGCTCGAGAAACGTAACGTATTGACGTATTGCAGTTTTTGTTTGACTGAAGAATAGTGATTTTCAAAGATTGTGTTTTGTTTGTTTTTTTTTTTTTGTTATTTGGATGCAATTTTTCTTTAAAATAAGTAAGTGATCCTAGAGTCTAGAAACTATACATATATATATAGACTGAACTAATTTCAAAAATATGTTGATTGTTGTTTTAAAATTTTTATAGACTCTGAAGTTTTCTAATCAAAAGAAAAAGTAAATAAACGAGGCTGAGATTACGAGGCTGTGATATTGTTGTTTTAATGTCAAGTAATTTATTGGTAACAAAAAAATGGTCAGTAAATAAAATATTTTGAAAAATCTTCCATTCCCCGGTGCGTGACCGTGGTCACCGAAGATGTAAGTCAAACTGACGTTACCGTTGGCGGGTTAAGTGTCTAGGAAAAATAATTGAAAAATTCCGCTCCTTGCGTACCCAGCCAGCCCCCCCCCCCTGCACGTTCATGCGTTAAGTAAGTTTGTAATGCACTAGCGTGCTTTACGAAGGAAGGTAAAAATCAAAACCATCAAAATCATTGTTTATCTACATTTATCGACATTATTTTTGTTATTACCGTATTATAGTATAGTCATTTATCTGTTAACAACAATATTGTGCGCTTAGTAATCAAAAACCATTAACTTATAATACAGTAGGTAGAGTAGATACTTTTAAAGCAGTTATAATCTAGGTAATCATTTTTTATGAAGATTTAAAAAATAATTTTGATTTCATATTAGACACGAGCATACATTGCATTTTGTGTAACTTATTTTTGTGTTGGAAGTGTAGGTTGCTAGCCTGCATGTTTTATCCTTGTCAGATCATCAAAAACAGGGAAATAGCTAACTTGGTCAAAACGTTTAGCAAATACTTGGGCTAGACTTTTTTCGCGTCGCAGTCCATCTCCAAGATTTTACAACTGCAAGGTCTGAAAAATGGATCAGTACTTTTACTTTCAATTTCTTTGTTTTCATGTATTAAAATATCTATCAAAATACAATCAACTATTTGGAGAAGCATTTTTGCTAGACACAGAACAACAGCAGGGCCTTCGCTTAGAGATTTGTCTGTAAAGGCAGGATTGTTAGGATAGTATATTTCAAAATCTAGCATAAGCCCATCACTTGTTGTGATAAATTAATTCTAAAGTCCAAGAGGTCTAGGTTTATTTTTAACTAAGACCCATAGCTTGCATTTGCCTGTAAAGGGTATAATTTGTTCGTCAAGTGAGTATGTGCCAGGAATCTTTTCAATCACACTACAAGTGATTTTTGACGGCATCCAGAACTGGCTGTAATTTTAAAATACGAGATTTTCATAAAACTCTTTATCATAATATCTTTCAAAATAATACAATGGAGTCTTCACTTCTTGTTCTTCTAGGAGGATACTCATGTGGTACGTCATAAAATGTAATAGCTGTCCGAAATCCTTGATATTTTATTTTGTGATATACGGCGTTTGTTGATTCCAATGGCGTTTTAGCATATTAGCATATTAAAGCAACTCAGCACTCAGCTAATGGGACATTTATGTCTCAATCACTGTCGCTCCCTTTATCACTGGGTGTCTCTTGTACAGGATCCCCATCCAGGAGTCGGGGAACACGAACAGGTGGTTCCAGCTCCTCTTCGAATATCTCAAGATCCGATCGGCACCAATCTTCGATCAAATCTTGCAACAAATCTTCGTCTAAGAGCCATCCTATTTAAAATATTACAAGTGTTAATTATATGAATTTTACGTCTTCTGATTATAAATGAAAATGTCAACGCACTGTCGTGCATTTTAATATTGTGGACCTATTATGAAGTCTAATATTTTTTAATTTCAAATATATTTCTTACTATCACTGTAGGTAAATACCTTAATTAAATATTTAAATACAATCAATTGATACAACACAACTTTAAACTTGAACGAAATATACTTACGTCAACCGCTGCAGTCCAAAATCGTCATGTCCATCTTGAACACTCACAGACACGTCACTGTTCACTCTCAGACCTGCGATGCATTTTATTCTGTATAGTTAAATTAAACCACAATCAATCGAGACCATTTCGGGGCACTAAACAAAATTCCGCGCACGCTAGATTTTTGTTATAATAACGCACGCTTGTTACATTCGGTTTTGAAAGGGCTACACCAAAATAATGTAAAACATATAATCGGAGATGTTCTGATATAAAGCGAAGCGATGTCGTCTAGGAGCTACATGGAATTTTTTTATATGTCCACAGTGCGTTCATTGATTAATTATAAAACTTAACAATCAAACAAGAACCATACTTTGGTAATGTGCGTGTGGACTCATCACATATTTACGGAAATTCTCGCAGCTGAAGTTGAGTTTGAGTATATACCACAATGTCAAAGACCCGGTGAAACGGTTCTCACTCCAACAACAGTGCACACTTGTGCCAACCATAAATTGAAATTAACAGTGACAAGAAATAATCTGCGTTCTGATGATAAATTTTGTAACTGATGGACGATTATATCTATCATCGATGAAGACAAGAAATGCAAATATATATTTTACCACGAAGGATTAAAATGTTATACGAGACACATCAGCATTATTCTGTTATTTTATATTTGTATGCTCTAAAAGCGTGATCCTTCCGACCACATAAAATATATCAACTGTCAGGCAAAATCAGAGATAACCTCAATACAATCACATCCGAAAATCAACAATTTAGCATAGCTCAGGTTAGGAGTCGAACTTAGATTTTATAGCTAGTGTAGCCGGTGGAAGGAAAAGGGGAGCCCGGGGAGCGGCCAACGCTCCGAGTGGTAGCTCGGAGCTATTCTATATATACTGCTTTAACTTCGAAACATTGATAGCGCGATTTAGGCTTCGATGTATTTTCGCTTGTGGTGCGACGACAGCACCGCCCCATCACCTTCCTGCTCAGACCGGAGGTCGATAGTGCAGTCCGATTGCCGGTGCGTCCTTAATGCCGGTGAGGAATGTATGCTATGTGTGTAAGGACAAGTGACACCGGTGCGAATGATATGCCGGTGTGAAATGCATGCCATACTACGCACTTGCAAGTGATGCCGATGAGAAGGTGAGGCCTTGTAGTCTGCGGTGAGTCGAGAAGAAGGCAAGTAATCTGCGAGACTGCCGTGAAGCAGAGGCGAGCAGTAAGGCTCAGAGCCGTGCTGAACACTAACACAGAGAGTAGCTTGAAGGAACAGGAAGCATTATTATTCCAGTGCTGCGATGAACCTTTATAAAGATAGATGGCTTGCAGAATGTGAAGACTGCAGACCTGCAGAATCCTGCATCTCATTTCTTTTTGTACATAGTTATATCTAGGTACCTATCTACACCTATTATTCCATTATATTATACATATATATGTACACTGATTCATTCACTGCAAATGTAACTTTGTAATCTTATATATTTATATGGGATTACAAAGTTATTTATGCAGTTTGCCTATCACGAAAACTGGACCGAAATTGCACAATATTTTAGTTTTTCCTTGATTTATGTACTAAACCATAATTTTATTCCAAACTTGAAGCTTCTATGTCTGCTAGAAGTGCCTTAGAGTTTTGACGAACAGTCAGTCAGTGAGTGACGAAATTAAGAAACTTTGACTAGTTATTATTATTAAACAACTGGTTCAAATTTAATGAAATTTGAAATATACCGTGTTTGTACCATTCTTACTTGGTTACTGAAAATTCAGGCTTCTAGTTTATCCACAACGAAGTTATATAGGGCTTCGAAAATGGCCTGAACTGCTTCGAGAAAATGATGGTACGGCCGTGCCGCTTTTTTGCTCGACTTGGCGGGGGCAATGCCGTGCCCCCAGATTTATAGAATAGATTTACTTATAATAAGGAAACTTTTCCTACATCTAAACAAATTAAAGCTAATTTTCTTCACTAACAGTAAAACCTAACATACTACTAGGAACAAAGCCATATGGATTTAATGTGATCCGCTAAAAATCTCAACTCCCGAAGATAACATTTAAGTTTCTAATTACCTACCTTAAACAACTACAGGACCTAAGATATGTCTAAACAAAAATTCTTAACACTGCAGGAGCTTAATAATTAAAAGGTTAATATAATATTTTCACTAAAAACTTTTTGACATTTTGAAAAAAAAATTTACGTGATCGAGCCACACACAGAATTGGTCGGCTCGAACAATGAATTATCACGCTGTCACAGATTGTCAGCGTAAATAGCAGCTTAATGCTACTGTATTGAGAACAGGAGACCATTTTACTTTAAACGAAACATTCCGTCTTAGCCTCAGGAGGGACAACTCATTTGCATTTTGATTATTAATCGAGGATAGATGAAGGTATCTATGAGGTACAGGATATCAGGTGGATTGTGCGCTCGTTTGTCACATTTTTATCTACAATAAATATATTTTCACTTAAACTTTTAGACATTTTTTTCACATTATTTTGATCATAAAAATATATACAATGTGGATTATGCATATAGAAAATTCAGTCTCAAGATAAACAGACAACGAGTTGACAAAATACTATGAAATGATGATATACTAAAGAATTTTTAGCGTATGATAATTACCAGCTTTTTAAACCTGGAATTTGCGTTCCTTAAAACCTTTGACTATACTCACCACGCAATTTAAGAAGAGTTTGAAGGACACAACTGACCTGTCTCAAATTTAAATAATATTTCAGAAATGTAGAATTTCACACGATGTACCTTCAACACCTTCATAACTTTAGTAGTAACAGCATCAGGGTTTGAAACACAAATAAGGGTGGCGAACACTCAGTGCACCTGTTTGTAAGTAGTTGCTATGGCCCATAGACATTTTTATCTATCTTCGATTTCAAAAAAACTGAATCAAAATGCAGATACGTTGTCACCCGTAAGGACTAAGATAGAATGCCTCATTTCTAGTAAAAAGGGTCTTCAGTGGTCTGAACTCACAAGCTGCTATTTGACGCTGGTATTCTGTGAGAGCATGGTCCTCCTCCGGTCGAGCCGACCCATTCATGTTACAATTGTAACACCAATATACGAGTAGCTACAGCATTGCTCTATCACGTAATAAGTACTATGAAATTAAAAGTAAATATCTAGCCCTAATCGTATGACGGCCTTCCTAATATTTTTACATGAATTGAATGGCAATTTAACGTATTGGTGGTTACTATATGGAGTAATGACCTGGTAATAGATATAAGAAATCGATAGATGAGACAGGTGGCTCAGCACCACACTTTGTGGCATTCCTTGAGAAATGCCTATGCTCAGCAGTGGACTTGTGAGGCTGTAATGATCGTGGATGACGATTGGGAGAAGCGTAAAACCAAGAAAGGACTGGTACTATGGTCCTCACCCGGTAAACACGGCTATTAAGGAAATCTCTCGATTATGGACGGGGAAAGACTTCAGTGGAAGGTTTATTTTATAAAAAATAATGTTACTCTTAATGCAAAAAACAATTTTGACTTTTTCACTTTTCGTCACAAGAAATTAATAATGGAAATAGTTATTAGGATCGAAATCAAAAGACATGGTATATTATTACATCAAGTATATAAATTAATCCACGTAAACTAACATTGATGTTTTCCAATCCCTTTTTTAAAATTTGATTATTTAATTTGAAATAAACTCATGAATTGAGCAATTAGAACAACTAGAAATTTGTAACAATTTGAGTGCTTCAGCTTTGTTGTGGTTGTAATGAAATTTCGACGTTATGAAATTTTACAATACAATGCTGGTTTGTCCGGGATATTTACTAAAATAAACATAAGGCAACTATACCTAATGAGTATTTTTAGTTTAACTGTTATCTTTGTTGTTTTAAAATACAAATATTATATATGAAAGCTTTTACTTAAAAAGTTTCAAAGTGGTTTAGATCTTAGAATTATAGCACACCCATAACATCATAAAATGTTTCGCAAAACATGCGCAAATCAATAAAAATGTAATATTAATTGTTAACCGATATAGCAGGTGGTTTACTTTAAAATATTACAATATCAATTTAATTCAGCCTATTTATAAAAAAAAATTATAAATTTATGAAAAAGCTTAACAGGAAAAATTTCAATAAATACGTTGAAACGATGTGCATTTTACAGAATATTTTTACCTTTTTCCGTCACTACGCGTGCCTGCTATTATTCGGGCTATCTTCGAAACAGGACACAGCAGTACAGGCGCTGACACTTGATGGCAAGAAAAGGTTGATTCGTACCGCGACGGACTCCTCAGTAGATAAAAGCCCTACCATCTAGTAAACTTGTATAGTGTTTCGTCAAGCAGAAGTGCTGTTTTTGTGTAAGGCATTCTATCTAACACTTCAGAGATGATAATGCATATGTAGCCTTCCTTATTTGAAGTTTCTTGAATTGCCCATGGGTTGCAGAAGCAACCACATACCATCAGGTGGGCTGTGTGTTCGTTTGTCATCCCCATTCTATAAAAAATAATAAGACTTGCCGGAAGTCGATGTATGCACGTGGCTCAGGACCGTGCATTGCTTGGGAGAGACCTATGTTCAACAATGGACTTGTGAAGGGTGATTATTATTTTAACACGAAATAAAAAATAAAAAACTAGTTAATGCGCACCTCTATATATCGACGGCTCCGTGGCGCAGTGGCTTAGCAATCAGTTGTTGCGCTGGGGGCCGCGGGTTCGAATCCTGCACGGAACAAGTATTTGTATGGCCTACAAATAATTGTTCCGGGTCTGGATGTTTGTCCTTGTGCAATTTATGTTTGTAAACTGCCTCCACGACACAGGAGAAAATCCTTGTGTGGGGGTAACGTTTTCAAAGAAGATAAAAATAAATAAAAATAAATCTCTGAGAAACTTGTAGAAATATTATAAAATTGAATTAAATTCATAATAATATGAATCAAGTGTCAGTATATTTTCATTGCTAAAACATTAAAATATCAATTAGCAGAGCCGTGTTTTCATGATACTGATATGTTTCTGTGTCAAGTTACGTAATGAAATTTTACCAATACAACATTAATATTGATAAAATTGCTGCTTGGCATATGAAAATATGTATTAACTTGTTCATGTTAATCGGTTTTAAATGGACTATTTTACTAAGCAAATATCTAATATATAAAAATTAAAATGTATTAGTTCGTATTTTATGCGCTGCCATACCGTTCTTAGATTAATATTTCTTTGTTCATATTTTATGCGCTGCCATACCGTTCATCAGATTGCGGTAAAACTTAGTCAACTTATTGCTTGCACTTGCGCTAAGGTTATAGGCATAGTACAATTAATTTAGAGTAGGTGGCGTATCGTACCGAAAAATTTATTTGAATATTCAATTAATTTATCTTTCAATTTGAATTATTGTGTTATTATTACCATTCACAATTAAATAATATACCTCTTACATATTTAAAATCATGTTTCCACAATTATTACCTCCGCGGCTGCAACGCGCCGGATACCAGCTAGTATTAGATAAATAGACTAATGAATCTCTTCTACAATTAAAACATACAATTCTTCAATTTAGAACCTATAATATATTATGAATCCTTTGCAAGTTATAATTTTTAACAGTAAGGTAACAAAGTATCGCTATGCAGCTACGATACGATGCTACTAAATAAGCCACGGATCGATCGGTTCGACCGGGGTAGGATGACGCTGTCACAAATTACCAGCGTGAAACAGAAGAAAAATGCTGTGTTTCGATTGGTGAGTACAGAGGTCCGGAATCTTAGTCCTCGGAGGAGACAATAGGTGACAGGGCTGACAGATTTAGATGTCTATGACCCTCAGCATCCACTTACCATGAGGTAGACTGAATGCTCGCTCGTCATCTTGTTAAATAATAAAAACGCTTCATAGCTAAGCATCTCTCGTTATTGAGAGAGCATTACCAAAATTAACGTCCAGCATTGTAATAACGCTCGTTGTACAGATAATTAAGACAAAGAATGTATGTTTATTTTTCGCATATTTTTTCGTATAGCTTTGCTTTATTAAATAGGAGATTAGATATTACAGACATATTTTTTAAGTTGACTCTGGTTGTAAGATTTTTATAAAATATAGTAATAAATGCAATGCGTTGCAATAATTGACCGTTCTGTACAATGCGGTCTTTGGCAACATTCCAAGATTTCGGAATAAAGCCAGCTGTTAGAAACGGACTATAACGTGCTTGCTTAGTTTAATTACATCATTGAGAAAGTACTTTACCAAAACGTAGTTCTACACATTCTCTTCAGTATAACTCGAGAAGACTCTATAGAGTAGTACTTGGAACTCGTTAGAGTTTATTCGAACAGTGATTGGCTGTAATCATTATCTTATTATGTTAAGCATGGTTAAGGCTCTCCGTGGTTCGCTCTTTGTCCGCTATATTGCACCTGTATATTGGTTGCACGGATGGGTCTGTTTGACAGGGGAGGGCGGCGCTTGCACAGAATATTAGATGAAATAGCAGCTTAAGGCCTCATTTCAACGGGACGTTTTTTCGCCGGAGCTAAGCCCGGCGTCAAACCGGGTCTACGTCTAGTCGTCAGTGTTGTATGGGTCACTATGAAACCAATCACACGACGCCGGCGCTAGTGCCGGCTCACCGCGCAACTGCTAGGATAGACAGAGACTATGATTTTCCATTTGGGATGATCCAACACACCTCTATCTTTCTTTTACATCCTTATACCTACAAATATATGCTCTACGGGTAAAAGTACTTTTAATTTGGCCCATCTTTAATATATCACGGTTAATATTATTTTATAAACTTCCGTCTAGATCGTCTCTTGCAAACTCTCCCACTCACTTCTACAGCATAAATTTACTTAACTACACCTTCCTGATTCATTCTTTCTTCGTATCCAAGCTATAGAAGCATTCCTTCTTTAATTCTTGCAATATATATTTGAGAAACAAACTTTTCTCTTGTTTCACCATTTCTCACCCTACCATCCAGAGTCAGCCCTAACATATTTCTTAATTATAGCATTTCTACATCATTAATTTTACTTACAAGCTTCTTCTGCCGCACCCAACTTTCAAAACCATAAAGTAAGCTAGGGATTAACACAGCATTTTGAATAGCATTACGTGCCTTTTTTGACCCATTCTGACTTCCAACTATAGAGTGAAATACATATTACATAACAAATTTAATTTTTATTCATGTTATACTGTTTATTTATTTATATCAGGATAACTAAAAGTTATTAATTAACACTATAAAGTACATATGTAAGTCACAGAGTAAGCTTATTAAAAGTTTACACAAATATGGAATTTACTTCTAAACATGGAGAAAATATACAGAAATTTCGGTTTCAAATATAGTACCTATTAAAACAATTTTGAAATAGGAAATTAAAAAATAGGAGTTATACTTTTATCTGAGTGAAATAGAAAGCAACATCAGTTGTGACTATTACTGACAGCATTTGTCTACAAAGATAATAAAGTTATACAGTCTGCAACTAGATACTAATTAAATCTCATAAATAAGCCGGCTCGACCGCTTAAGGATCACGTCGTCGGTATATCAGTTTAAACAGGACTGTGCTATATATTATTTGAAGAATAAGAAAACTAGATCTATTAATAAACGAAGACTAAATGTTATTGCGGTTTGATAATTCACCACCATCGAGCAACGTCAAAGGTATTGGATATCTGGTACTGGTGATGCCAAGCGTATCGATTATGTTCGATCCTTCATAAAAATGGCAGAGATCCATGTGGCCCATAGTAGATGTGATAAAAGGGACTCTAGGATAAACCAGAAAGATCTCATGACTTCCGATAGATGGCTGTATATCCATATTGCAAACGACCTTCGTAAAAGAACCAAAGCAGTTTTTTTTATAGGATAAGGGTGACAAACAAGCACACCGTCCACCTGATGGTAAGTGGTTGCTGTGGCTCATAGGCATCTACATCTATCTTCGATTACGAATCAAAATGCAGATGCGTTGTCACCCGTGAGGACTAAGTTGGAATGCCTCGTTTCTAGTAAAAAGGGTCTCCGGTTCTCTACACTCACCACACGAAACACAGTAGCGTTAATCTGCTATTTTACGCTGTTATTCTGTGAGAGCGTGGTCCTTCCCCGGTCGAGCCGACCCATTCGTGCTACAATTATACTACTAATATATCTGCAGCATGGCTCTACCAGTGACGGGAGGCAGCTTCAAATGTGCAGGACGTCTAGTACTGCGATCGTCAATCAGCCTGCCAAGCGTGGCGATCATGGAAAATTGTCTGTATAACGGAAAAGGTCAGTTGTGGACTTTTTTTTCCCAGCTTGGCTAGATGGCTGAATGATGATGAAAATATGTCAATGCTAAAATCAATACATTTATTCTTACAATTTTTTTGTTCATTTGTTAGTGTTAGTAAAGTCATTCATAATTTGACAACTAATTAGGTGATTATGAAATGAATATTATATTCCAAGGAAACATAATTTATGTATATAAAAAATACAAAATTCTTACACTTTATTTTATGAGGAATCATACACGCCTAAATTCTAAATCAATCGGAAAATTTATAATATAAGTTATTAGGTACTAAATTATTGTAATAAGACATCAAATAGCCAATTAAGCAGAACTTACTACCAATTTCTAAACCAAATGTGCATCTTCACATGCATGCAAACTCAACGTTTTAAATATATTCGAGTAAGTTCGAAAATGTGTAGTAAATAAGGTAGAAGCATTTTAATAATTATTAAAACTAGAATTGACTTAGAATATAAATATTAAAAATTTTTAATAAAAATTAAATTGATGTAAATAAACTAGGAAACATACAAAAATAATGTCTTACTGCATATTTACAAAGTTAAGTTTACCTTTTGGAATTACTTGATTTATTATTTCCCAAAACAATATTTTTTTTAAATTCCCCTATTTAAAGCTGACCTAAAAAATTTTCATCGCTTACTTTCCTCCCTTAGAATCTTGGCCAAGTCCATTTGATTGCTTTAGATTTCCTTGGATATTTCATTTTCCCTTAGATCCATTTCATTTTGGTTTTTATTATCACTTTGTTGTGTATCTTTACTTATTTCTGATACTGGAGTTTTCTTACTGGACATTTTTTCTGTGAATATAGCATAAGCAACTTGGTAAACATGAAGACTACATTAAGGGACATTTTAAATGATCTATAAATCCCATTATGGACTTCAAAAATTTCACGACTGTCGTTTTTACGAAACATAGTCGTACGTTATATGTACATTAAATTAGGTATTTTACCTTTTCTAATTGTATACTAAATCGTTAGCTCTGGATTAAATCCCAGAGGAAACTACGATCTTGTGCACTAACTTTAATTATTGGTTTTTGATTAGGCAGCTAATATTGTCAGTGTGACTTTGGCAGTGTACCCGATGCTTTAATCTTAAATTTATGTGAGCTTGCTTGTATAGCCGCTACAGCTAGCTGCAGCCGATTTCAGTTGGTTAAACTTATGTGTATTCAATTTATTCATAGCTAAATCTTGTTGCTTTCGGGTAAAACATGGTGAAGTCCGATTAATAACAAACATGACTATTAACCAAATACTCAAACGCTACCTAATTTTAATTTGAATTACTCGGACAAATTGAATACGCCAAAGATTAATCGGTGTAAAGATTAACTGCAATCAGCTGCACCTAATTCAGCCGCCTAAACCTAGGTTTAACCGCTCTTAGCCCTACCAAATAAACTTTATGGCAATTTTAATTTGCCTCATGATAGGGTGCGGAGCACAAACTCAGAAGGCCGTGGGTTTGTATCCGCCATTCGAATAATATCGTTAAACACTCCGAACACAAACATTTTAAGCTTACCTCGAGTAGTTAACTGGAATGATTATGTTAATTGCATTACTAGTATACTCTTAAAAAATTCTACAACGTGTGACACAATATCTCTCGTGTATTTAATATTCTCTTTCATGAAAATAACTTTTTTTTTTCAATATTATACGTATTGTATAATTGGTTTATCATTTCAAAATCGGTACTATATTCATTTAAAATTTTTAAATATATTTTGTAATGAATGATGATCGTGTACCAATCTGGATACAAGATATTATAATGAAACAATAATTTTGTAGAAACTTAATCATAATTCAATGAAAAGTAATATGTATATTATGCGTAAATGTCCACTGGGTGTAAGGAAATAGTAATTAAGTTATGAACTTTACTAAATCTCATAATCCCATGTTATCATGAGCTTCCACATCTAAACTTACAAAGACTAGTAACACCAGTTAACACCAAGAAATCCAGTTATTGATTGCATTACGATTAAGGTTAGATCTAATCTATCACGCAAAAAGTTGTTGATTTATGTTGTTTACTTTATCGAGAAAAAAATTTATTCCATCACACCCAACTTATTATTACTATAACTACTACTACAAGTCATCGCAAGTTTACTGCTGAATATAGGCCTCCTCCAAGGAATGCCTCAAGGCACGGTCTTCGGCCACCTGCACCTTTTGTGTTAGAGGCTATAGAAACACGTAGGTTTATATTTTAATTACCGAACATGTGTTGAATATTCAGTGTTAATGACTAAATAGCATTTAGCGAGACCAGTAATCTTCGGTTGGAATAATTCACGACGAAAGTTAGTCCTTTTCGCGCTCTCTCAATAATTAAATTTCACACGTGAATTATTTTATATGTCATATAATATTCATATCTTATCAAGAAAAAACAATTAGGTTTAATTTTGCTTATTTTATATGTATTTCACATGGATTTAAATCTAAGATTTCTGCAACTATTTTGGCCATGTTATGTATATTTTAGACCATTTGAAGTAGAAAAATCTATACGAACCTTTACTCAAAAGAAGTTTAATTAAAGTTGCAAACGGGGCATCAATAGTTACTGTGACCATGAAAGCTATCATAACAGTTATCATTAAGAAGGCAGCTATCTGCAATATCTGAAAATATACAATGTTATTGGAGTAGATGAAATATTTGATAAAATATCATTTATATTAATTGTAATAATACTTACTAAATTTTGTACAGAAAAAAATGTTCGAATATTTGACGAAGCGTATGCTGTCATAATAATTGGAAAATGTATTATGTACATAGCATAAGATAAACGTGCTGGTAACTTCCACAAACTGAGACACAACAACCAATTGATAGGACCTAAAAAATTAAGCATAATTTGAAAGCGTGTAAAAGTTAACAGGTACAAAAAATAATTTAGTTCTGACATTATTTAAAAAAAAGAACTATTAATATTTATACTTGTGTTTTGTATTTTTCGAATTCTTTCAACTTTATGAAAGGTTAAATAATATTCTACGATTCGATGAAGTAAGTTATGATCACGGCTTTGATGGCGTAAATGCACCGATCTATCTAGTTGACGCTTTTATTTTATTCTCTTACTGTAACCTTATTGGAAAAAATCAGCAGATAATTTTCTAAATTATCTTATTTTACATGGGTCTTAATTATTGGTTCACTTTTATATGTTAACTTAATTTATGTTTATTTAAATTTGTTTAAACTATTTTTATAAAAAAGAGGCTAGATTTTAAAATTATAAGTAAACCTCAAGTGAGATGTCTCAAAGTGCTGTAACGCAAATTTTAGCCAAACTATTCAAGTAACTGGCATTTCAGAACCTTCACTTAATTTTGCCTGTTCTTTAAAAAATATACCTTCTTTTTAAGGAACTAACCGCTGCTTATTACAGCATCGATTGCGGTCCTTTGCATGTACTCAGTGACCTTTATAGTGTTTCATAACGAGCAGCCTTTTATGTAATTATTATTTATAATCCTATCATACTGGTTCTTTAGCTAATATTTTCGTCTTCTTTAACATCAAGGCCTGCCTCTATTACGGTCTGTAAGTATAAAAACTTTTCTCCCTGCAATCTTCGATAATAGTAATTTAAAATTAAAAAAATTTCTACAGCCGACTTCAATATAAGTTATTTAAGAATAACTCAAAAACTATTGGTCTGAACTTGATCAAATTCATATGGGACCACAAGAGAACTATCAGCTTTCATATAAAAAAAATCATTGAAATCGGTTCACCCAGTTCAAAGTTATGAGGTAACACACATTAAAAAAAATACAGTCGAATTGAGTACCGTCTCCTTTTTGAAAGTCGGCAGAATAGTATTAAGCAGAGAATAGTTTTAGAAAACACAACGTACTCCAAAATTAAAAGATACACCTACCCCAGCCAGTAACCGCCTAGGCCGGTTACTGGCTGGGGTAGGTGCGAGCTCTTGAAGTGTTAGGTTTTTTAAAAAGTGTTCTTAACGTAACCTAAAATAGTAATCTTTTCGTTTGATATAACTTGTACACGGCTTCAATATTCGATTCGATTTATTTTGCAACACTTTTACGTAGTTTCTATTTTTGTAATAAATTTTTGCACAGTAATTATATTTACAGAGAATTATATTTCAGTTAATTTACAGAGGTTCACAAAAATTAAAAATTACTGCAACGTCGCCGTTGCGTTACAACTGTAAATATCTCATAAAAGGATCTCGATACAGTGCGACCTAGCGGCCATTTAGGCACACAAAGCATCATTAGCAAAACATAATTAGTTTTTTATTTATCGTATATTATATATATATATATATATATATATATTTATTATATTTAATATATTTTTCATTCAGAAAGAACACTCAGAAAGTTTTGTGAAACCAAAAGAAAAAAATTATTATTATGAAATCTTTTCTTTGAAAGCCTATACCAGCAACTATACAAATTTTTCAGCCTCTGAACCAATTTTAGAAGCACTTTTCCTAGTCCGCAGACAACTCTTCTACATGCTGCTCGAACACAGCTAGTTCAAAGGGTTTTCCGACGATGAAAACTGTATGCATTTCAGCTTTTATTATAGCGAATAAAATGAAATCGCATTGTGCCACATTAGAGCTGTAAGTGGCTGACCCAAAAGCGTAATGGCCCTTCTACACTACTCGTGAAGTTGATCGAAGTTGGGCGAGGAGAAGAGTGTAGAGAGGTACTTCAATACGCTTCGTGCAACCTCGCTCCGCCTCGGGCGACTTCCGATCGCTGTCGGTTTTTTACGCCCGAGTCAAAGGACTTCACGAAGTGCCCCGAAGTTACACGAAGCGTCTCACTACACTACTTGGCGTACGCCAGTTATTTATTTTTATTTAATTATTTATCTATGGTTCTTCATCGCAAGTCGACCGTATTGAAATTTGTTATAATAGCAATAAGTGGTTGCCTCAAAAGTCTTTATACATAAATGTCATTTTAAATGTATCAAACAATTCATCCACAACATTTGAAATCGTAAAAAACACCGTGCGAAAATGTTCCTGACGCAAATCGATTTTTGAATGAAAAACAATGTTTCAAATTAGTTCGAAAAAGTGCGGAGAGTGAACATTCGTTATTGTATTTGAAATTGTATTATTTAAATAAATTTTAAATGGTCAGTGTGTCCATCATAAAAAAAAAGTTTTTACGTTGCCTGTGAATTATATGAAACAGTAAAATATGTTATGTTAAAACAACGAAAAATCTGTACCTCCATATCCTTTAACACATGCGAAAATCAAACATCCAAGTCCTAAAGCCCAAGCTGGTCTCATAAAGGAATTAAGAATGTTATCCGCTAATTGATTATCCCAATTTACATCAAAGTTTAAGCGGACGCAATACATCACGCCTGCTAGGATTAGTAACACGCAGCCCCATACAGCTAATGTTAGAAACTGAAAAATTTAAGTATCATGTTATAGTTATTCCTCAGAATAAAGTATACTATATTGTTCTCCCTATAAAAATTTGGTAATTTAATACACAACATAAATGACTCTGAATGCTTTTAAACGTATAAATTTACCTAATCTTTTCCCACTTTGTCGACACCCAACGGCGACTTTATTAAACTTATTGAATTTACTTATTTTATATAGACACTAGATGGAGTGATGACCTGGACACCGCTGACCTGACATGCAGGAAGTCAATGTATGGAGGTGGCTCAGAACCGTGCTTTTTGGCATTCCTTGGTGGAGGCCTATGTTCAGCAGTGAACTTGTGAAGGGCTGTAATGATGATGATGATGATTATGATGATGATGATATAGACATATTAAAAAATTTATTTGTTTAAAACAACAAAATTTAGAACCCTACTCTTTTCATTACGTGGCTGTAACACAATTTTATTACACCCTGCCCGTTGTCACTGTGTGAATATAAATAGGAACTTAATTTGGGATGTTTTCCTATAATTTACCAAATATGTACTCAGTGGCTAAGCGTTTGCTGTAAACTTCACAGTACGCTAGCAACCCGCCTCGAGCCCGGTTGGCAAGAATGAAATTGTTAATTGCTTTTTAACTTTAAATGCTGAATTACAACGTGCTTGGCGGTAAAGAAAACCATCTTGAGGATACCTACATTATTTCGAAGACATGTGAAGTCCGGTGACAGACATTTGTAGTACGCGGCGGACATTCGTTTGCCTCAAACCCTCTCAGGAATGAGAGGAAGCCTGTGCCCAGCTGCGGGACTGTAAATTTCCTAAAAATATTTTTTTTATCTCCAAATCAATATAAATAGATCTTGTAATCGAAAGTATCTATACTATACTATGATATAATCGTACTCCTACAAATTATAAACATTTTAGAGTACTTTCGTGCGGTAATTATTATTTTCAAATAGTCTTATGATGTAAGAAGTCTTACCTTAGATATTTTTAGAGGTTTTCCTTTCCACAAATGCAGTATATAACCATAGGCCATCCCGACGAAGAATGGTGAAGCACGGGTTAATGTGTTTATGTAATAGTAAACAAAATATCTACGTAACTGAAGAGGGCTACAAAGATAAATTATTTTGTATATACGATGTAATATAGTTTTAAATCAATTTAATAGGTACAAAATAATTTAATAGGGTCTATTAGGTATTGAGATTCCTTTTCTACCTAGGTATACCTTTTACCCATTTCTGGCGCTAAATAGTATAATTACTAAATACTAAATAATAACTAAAAAAATAATTACTAAAATAAATAGTATAATACTTGCTAAATAGTATAATGGACTGCAGTAGCTACTTATCATCATCTGATGATAAGTAGCTATATAAGCCAGTTTGTCTCTTCAGTTTTATAAAAAGTGTATAATACTTTATATATTGTTACCAAATGCGAGTAGTAGAATAGTGATTCTCTTACGCTGTCTCCACACAACAAAAACAATCTATAACTCATTTTTATTAATTTTTTCTTAGTATTTTATAATGAGGTAATCACAGAGACTTTAATTACTGAGATCATATTTAAGATAGATTAAATATAGTTCCCCTGTGACTAAAATGTCCAAATTCCTCTAGCAATTTTTGCAAAATTTGAAATAGTTAACTCACAGAATAAAATTTAGTTTAATTTATTCTATTTTCTCTGATTTTATCGGGATTAATTTTAACTTCTTTTAAATTTCCGACGTTTCAGGTGTCCCACATCATCACGATCACAGGAGGTACTACTGAACTACCTTCAGCTTCTTATTATTAACGAGCTTACATTGTATTGAAGTCTTCCAGTGGTATGCTTGGGTTTGGATTTATTTTATTAAATACATATGATATCAAGCAGATTCCAACTTCCAAATTTTTTCAGCCATCATTCATTCTACAAAAGTAAGAATTTCTTTTTACAAGTTTCAATAGCATCACAAGTCATCATTGCTGGCTATCAGTGTACTCTTACGTGTATCTGTGGTTTATCACATCTGCTGTAATGGCGGGGACAATCTTGGACATGTTTACAGACTTCAGACTTCCTGCATGAGCAGTGATTCATTTCGTCTATGTTATTTTTTTACTGTTTTGTTGATTGCCTGGTTTGACCTATGTAATAAAGTTTGAATTAAACGAGGAAGTTGGCCACTGGTGACCTCTTAATTATAAGTAATATCTTTCCGCTAGAGGTAAGTTAAGATATAATGCAATTCTGCCGTAAGTAATATACAATATATAACTGCGGCAGGTTAGTTCTTCTTATTTCATGACCAATGGTGGCAAGCTAGAGACTTTCTAATATGCAAGTGTTTGCAGCTTTAGGCCATAAGGCACGCCAACCGCACTTTATTCGACTAGCAACTGGTTACACTTAGCGTAAGAAGTTCTAAAAATGTAAATTCTGAATATGTAACACTCACATTCAGTTATAGTAACGCAAAATAACTTTATAATCTTAAAAAATCGTACAAGAACAATCAAAATAATACAGCAAAAGTTATGTTACTATGTTGCTAGCCTTATAGTGATCCCGACAAGAAGAAGAAATGTTTACTTGAAGTGCGATTACATGTAAAACATTATAGCGACTATTAAATTCTAGCTGAATAGCTTTTCTGGTAGTCTGTCGCTATAGTAACTACTACTACTAATTACTACTCATTACGCTACCATACTTAACAAAATTATTAAAAATTTAACCTTATCGGTTTGCGTTATGGAAAAAAAGTTAAAAGCCTAACTTGCGAGTTGTCAGCGTTATGAAATACTAAAACTACTAAATACTAAATACTAAACTCGCATGTGTAGTAGTGGACGTGGACAGTGTGCTCGTTAGTCACCCTTATTCTATATAAAAAAAAAAACTTACCACTAGCTGCAGAATATTCGTTTTTATTTAACGATCAACAATGGGTGCAGACGAGACACAATTTTTATAACTTTTTATATTTCTTTCTATAATTCTTCCAATTTGGTAAGTGCTATACGGTCCACATTTTGTTATTTTGTTCACAATCAAGCTAAATTGTGAATGTGACCTCTCATATATAAGGCAAACAAAATGACTAATCAAATCCCGCGTAATAAAATATATAGCTGATGTGAGGCATGCACCAGGAAGCCTGTAGTTTGTGGATATGTTCAGGATAGTTCTCGCTAATACATCAGTTTGATAAACTATACATTCTTACAAAGGACTATCGACTTCTAGCAAGGATGATTCGTGAAGTTATTAAAAAAAATCTCATTTCTAAAGAGAAGATTCTTGTGGACTTTGATCTGCTTAGGATTCTATAATTATTAAGATTAAATCCAAGCACAACCATACCATTCAAGACTTTGAGACACTATTAACTCACTCTGTGTAGATCAGATAAAAAATAATATCTAAAAGCTGAAGGTTGCCCGGGTTAACTATGACATCAGGATGTCAAATACTTCAGTGCACCCGAAACGTCGCGAGTAAAAAAAAAGTTAAAATTAAATGTAATAATGTGTAGTATTCACGTAAGTCATATATTATACATTATGATTTTGACATTAAATTGCATTGTATAACTTATTTGCCCCTCGGTCTCACAGAATACTAGCTTAAAATAGCGGCTCAATACTGCTGTTTCATATGGTGAATGTAGAGAACGGGAGAAATATTTTTTTATGGGTCCCAGTCTACACTTACCATCATGCGGACTAAGTACTCGTTTGTTACCCTTATTAAATAAAAAATACTAAAAAAGTGATTATATTTTTAATGCACAATTGTTTTTATATTCTTACATTATCATCGAATGAGCTATGTTCAACATGTTATGTCTTAACCTTATCGGAAAGTTAGTACAAAATCAATAGCTAAATTCAACTTGAATAGACACACGAAAGCGACTTAAAATAAATAAATACTAAAATAAATAAAAAGATACTAATACAATGACATTAAATACTCACTTTTGAGAAAAAAGCCCGGATTGGAAGTTCTGTATAAAATTGTAGATAGTTGCGGTAACGAGCGATGTCAATAGTCCAGTTGCCAATGCTATCCAAGCAATATTTTTCCTACCACTTAGAATCCAAAATAAAAATATTGGTGACAAAAGATGCAATTGAACATCAACAGACAGATACCATGTAGAAGCAATACACTAAAATAAAAATAACCTCTGATACTTCTTTTGTTTTTTATAAAAACATTTAAAAGTTGTCATTTTAGTCAAGACAAATTTTGCTAGTCACCAATTTAAAAGACAGGCTGGTTATTTATACAATGTAGTCAACAAAAAACTAAACTTTATTCACTGAACTCTAATGAGTTCAAAAAGACAGTTACAGAATGGCTACTGAAACTTAAGTTACGAGGAATTACTAAAAGTTATTAAATAAATTTTACAAACGCAGACAAACACACACATGTGTACATATACACGCGCAACACACACACACACACACACACACACACACACACACACACACACACACACACACACACACACACACACACACACACACACACACACACACACACACATACACACACACTCACACAGAATCGCGCGAGTGAGCGCACGCACCCATTAACTCACACTCACATAAACTCGCACACTTATATAAAACCCTCATTATATAAATATAAGCTTAGTTTCTTGTATTTCTTTAATTAATCTATTTTGTGTTTATTTAATGCTTGCTATAGAAGAGCGGGGCATCCTGCCACAAGTATATATTTACTTAAAAGGATGTTCCACTTACTCCCATACCTATATAATGTATGATCTTTTTAAAGAAATAAACAATTTTTCATTTTCATTTTGATATTAAATTATAAAATCAGCTCGCATTAATATCATTTAGAGTGCTGTAAGACTGCAATAAATGGCGTACAATGTTGCGATATACCTACGTCAAGAAGCAGCAGAAATATTTCTACACAGTAACTGGTACGGATCGCTATCAAGGTAGGGATCGTGGATCAAGCTACATGTCATACCATGTCGTCATTTCATCTGGTACGGGACCTCGCTTACTGGTACAAGCCTGCCGCTCGTGAACTTTTCTTCCCCCTTTGGTTATCGGTTCATCAAGCTATATGGTCGACCCCTCACCACTTCAGCTTACTGATCCATTGAAATTGTCGATTACTCTAGTTCTAATGTAGATATTTTCATTATGGTTTTCATCACGCAGAGTAACTCCGGGCATAGACCTCTCAATAGCTCGCCGAGCGTCATAAAGTTTCTTCATACAGCCAGCAGCAGAGATCATCACCGTCATCAACATAATCATCATCATTACAGCCCTTCACAAGTCCACTGCTGAACATAGGCCTCTCCCAAGGAATGCCTTAAAACACCTGCATCCATTGACTTCTTGAATATCTTACCAGGTTCTTACCCCATCTAATGGAGGGATGCCCTACACTTCGCCTGCTGGTACGAGGCTGCCACTCGAAAACCTTTAATTCATTAGTTATCGGTTCTACCAGCTATATGGCCGGCCCACTGCCACTTCAGCTTACTAATCCGTTGGGCTATGTCAGTCACTCTACTTCTACTGCGGATTTCCTCATTTCTAAGTTTATCACGCGGAGAAACCCCGAGCATAGCCCTCTTCAGCTGCTTCTTGCTGAGCAACCTTGAGTGTTTTCATACGGCCAGTAGTGAAGGAGAACGTCTCAAATCCATAAGTTATCACAGGCGACACGCACTGGTTGTACAAACACGTTTTCAGGTTTTGAGGTATACCTGACGAGAAGAAGTGTCATTATTTCCGAACACTGCCCAGCCGAGTTGAATTGGTCGATTGAACTCTCGGTCGAAATTTGACTCACCTAGTTGGACTATTTGTCCCAGATAAACATACTCGTCAACAACTTAGAGCTTAATGTTCCCGACAACTACCGGCATAGGTGTGACATGGACATTTAACATGATCCTTGTTTTGTCCATGTTCAACTTAACACCTATACGTTGGGAGACACTATTGAGGTGATACAGCACAGTGCTTATGTCCTCCAGCGATTCTACCATAAGATCTATATCGTCGGAAAATCGAAGGTGAGTGATGTACTCGCTATTGATGTTAATACCATATCCTTTCCAATCCAAAAGCTTGAAAACGTCTTCGTATGAAGCGGTTAAGAATTTCGGGAATATAACTTTACCCTGTCTTTATACCTCAGTGCAGTTAAATAGGTAGCCATCGTAGCCTAACTGTATAAATACTTCTGCTCTGTGATATTCCGACAGTCAACTTGGCATCGCTGAAGGGATGTAGCACCTCCCAAATTTCAACGTAATTAAAAGTTATCTCATAGTCCACATAGGCAGGGCAAAGTGGCAGATTGTATTTTTCGATCTTCTGTACAGTTTACCGAATGGTTTGTATGTCGTCTATGGTACTAAAGCCTTTTCGGAAACCGGCTTGCTTGGGAGGCTAGAACTCCTCAATCTGCGTGCGATACGATTCGTAACGACTCTCGAAAACAGCACGTAGACGCGACTCAGAAGGGAAATATGTCTGTAGTTCTTACACCAACCACTAAGAACAGGAGCACTACTACTCCAAGCATGCGGAGTAGTCCCACCAAGGAGTACGGAATTAAAGAGCTTCTTAAGGACGTCAATTACTGGTTTTCCACTCGCTTTAAGAAGCTCCACTGTAATTCCATCCTCACCTTGGGCTTTGCCATTTTAAAGGTGCTGGAAAGCTATTTTAATCTCGCTCAGACTGACGTCCGGGATATCTTCGGAATAGTGTCGGATAAGACTTGCTCTTGGATCGTTACACACACATGCGTGTGGTTCCAACGATGACGTATACAGCTGCCCATGGAAACTCTCAATCTCACTCAAAATCTCAGGTGTCCCGAAAACGATGCTGCCACACTCGGTCTTCAGCTTTGACAGTTGGTTTTTCTGGCAGACAGATCTCTGACAAAGATTTTGGTGCCTTGGTGTCGCTCGATCGCTTCTTTAATACAAGCTGTTTTGAAGTTGAAGTCCCGCCGCATGTATTTGGAGATCTGTCTATTCAGTTGCCTGTATGCCGTCAAATAGTTTGAAGACTGCAGCTTCATTTCCCGTCTAACAGCCGTGAGATAAAGAGTGTGATCGGAGAGTTTTTGTGTTCTTCTGCGGCGGGTCTGACAGAATTTAGCTACGACCGCATTGACAGTTTCCACGAGCTTGTCATTTATATTTTCCACTGCATTACAGTCTTCTAGGCACTGAAAACGGTTTTGTAACTCGAGCTAAAAGGTTTCGGGACTTTGGATTAGAGCACGAGGGGAACGGAGCATTGACTTCATTAGAAGAGACCTCTCCAACTTAACGTCTAGGTTCAGTGTGCCTCTAACCATTCGGTTTTTTATATGATCGGGTGACAAACGAGCACACAGTCCACCTGATAGTAAGTTGTTGCTGTGGCCCATAGACATCTACATTTATCCTCGTTTGCGAATCAAAATGCATATGCGTTGTCACCCTTGAGGTTTAAGATGGAATGCCTCTTTTCCAGTAAAAAGGGTCTCCGGTTCTCTACACTCCCCATACGAAACACAACAGTATTAAGCTGCTATTTTACGCTGGTATTTTGTGAGAGCGTGGTCGTTCCCCGGTCGAGCTGACCCATTCTTGCTACAACTATACTACTAATATAGCTGCAGCATGGCTCTACCTCGTATATCCCAACTCCCCAACTTAACGCTCAGTTTACCTAACCATTCGGTGATCGCTATCAGTTTTCATCCTCGCGATCACTGATCACATCACAGAAACAGTTGTCGTCTGGTCGTCATAATGAAGTCAATCTCATTATTTGTCGAACCGTCGCGGCTCGACTAGGTCCACTTCCTGTGGGGTCGCTTCTGGAAGAAAGAGTACATCATAAATTGTCCCCTTTTCTCTATTAATTCGGCCAGCTGCTGGCACTTTGGGTTCCGTTGCCTTATTCCGAATTTCCGTACCTTCAGCTCACCGTACTCTCTTGTGCCTAGTTTTGCATTGAAGTCTCCAATTGACACCTCATAGTAGGTTTTGGAGGAATGCATGGCTTTAGAGATATCCTCATATATTTTCCTCACCTCCTCATCGGTATGGGCCGAGGTTGATGCGTAAGCCTGTATGACCTTCAACGAATACCCTTTGATGATTCTGAGTATAAGGTACGCAACCCTTGTCGACGCACTCCCAATCTTTACAACGTTGTTAACAAGAGACTTGTGGACCTTAAATCCGACACCTCCTTGGGGCAGATGGTCGCCCTCCCGGTGATAAAACAAGTTGCTTGTATTCGAGGATTATCGTGTCCTCTCCCTCTCTTCGGATATCGGATAAGCCTATGACTTGCTAGCATAACTTGTCTATCTCTTCTAGCTCCAGGATCTTCTTGTCAGTCGTCAGGATGCGTGCGATGTATGTTGTCAGGTCGAGTCGGCAGGTGGCAACCGAACCTCCACCGAAGATACTTAGCACCCCCTGCTCTGTTGTTACCATGGTTGCCTCCGTAGCTAGGAAAAGCAGAGTCACCGGGGACTGGGGGCCGTTTCGTCGTCACTTTAATTTCATGCAACTTTGGCTAATATCCCTCATATTAGCCATAGTTGCCACGCTTTGCGAGCGGATCGGCAACCGCAATTTTCGTATTGTTGTTTTGCTCTTATCAGGAATTATTTTTTGTCTGTTTGTGTTGATATTCTTAACCGCTACTACATGGCACAGGTCACATATCTATATATCATCTAGGTGAGCAGATACTTCAGGACTATGATATACTAATACGAATTTCCTATTTCATGACAAAAAGGGCCAATTTTTCATTCATCAGATAACAGGTCAAAACTATAAACTGGTTGAATTAAAAAATTGAAACAATTGAACTATTTTGTTCGTATAACTGTATTTTTTATTTGTTTACGTTTTGTTCTATCCTATGAATAGCTTTTACCTTAGGATTGATTAATCGGCCCTAAGTATAAATTTTATTTTATTGACGGTAATTTAAATAGAAATATTTTTATAATACTCGTATTAAAGTGACCACGAACTTATATTCCACCTGATATTCAGTTGATGCTAAATGCCACAGGCGCTACCAACCAACTTCAAAGAAAGAACCATAGAAACGATGTCAATCCTTAAATAGATTCCCTAGCAACCTTAGAGTATACATAATAATCAATCTACTTACGCCTTTAATTATAACGTTTTTTTTTTTTTACGTTTCATTGCATACTATAATACCAAGATAATTTAGAAATGCTTCTGTTAGAACGGCATCACATTACGTAAATGGCAAATTCCTACCTCCAACGTTTGACACACATTTCATACACTTAATTATACAACTACTGCTGTAAATACATTAATTTTGTTTGAATTCAAAAAATCATATCAAATGTATCAATATGAATCATAAAGATAATATTATATTAATATAACAGCTAATTTTTCAATCATCATACCCATCATGGTGATCCGGTAGCGTTACAGCCCTTCAAAAGTCCGTTGCTGAACATAGGTCTCTCCATAGATTGCCCCATAGGGGGGAGGGGGTATTTTTTTATAGTTGCCACGCTTGGCAGGGGGGTGAGCAACCGCAGTTTTTTCATTTTTCAGACGTTATGAGCAAAACGCTGCCACCGATTTCCTGGTTTGTTTCCCTCTGTCGCTTCTTACGACATCAACGGGACGATATATATTATACGCCACTACATCTTTTCAATTATCAGATAAAAAATATTCTTCAACTAAATTATGACCTGACTTATTATAAAAGTGAAGCAATTGAACTACTTTATTCATACAACTGTAGTTTTGTACTTTATCTTAGGAATAACTTTTATCGAATAATTGAAAGATCGGCCTCAAGAATATAAAATCATACACTCACCATATCAGTCGGATTATAATAATTTTGTATATGTAATAACGCAGACCACCAATACTGTCTGCAAGCAAATATAGACATCGCTTGAGTATTCCATAATGGACCATCAAATACCCTATTCTGGAACGATACCTCATAAAGGATCATTGCAGCAAGTATTGGAAACATACGCAGGAGACGATGTAGATAGAATAGTGGAAGATTTTGAATTAATTGCACTGCAATGGAATTAAAAGTTAGTTGTGAAGATTACAGAGCATAGTTTATAATTCTTAAAGCATTTACGAAATTTACATGAACTAGAAAATTATCTTAGTAATACATAACAGATAATACATTCTTGAAAGACAAGTGCTTAATAGAAGTCTTAAAAGTCTATTGGTATGTGATGTGTTAGTTAATCGGTCTGATTATAAAATTTTATTTTTTAGTTAAGATACAAATTCCAATGCCAAAAGCTTTTGGTTCTGTGTCATCTTCAGGCTGAATGGAAAAATACATCTTTCTATACATAAAAATACTTATTTTACATAAAGTCACGCATGCTTAATTGTTTCAAATTAGTCAAAAGAACCAGATGGTAAATGATACACGGTCAAAATAATTCTATTAAAATAGCAATAGTCCATTCAAAATAGCAATTTCCTTAGAATACTGATATATACAATAAATAATGCACATTATCCCTTCTAAATTAAATTATAAAATTTTCTCACACCACAACCATATATATACATATTATAAATAAAGTAAATTTTATAATATAAATTATAAATATAATTAATTTTACATACTACTACTCAGTTTGCCAGCTGTCGTATAAACTACAAGTAAGCCGCTCAACATAAAAAATGTATCAACTGTGATTGGAGCTGCTGTTATCCATATAGCCTTAATGGATTGAGCCCACTGAAAAAAAATGTTATGATTACTTGTATTTAAACTTTTAATAATTTATTTTTTAAATTGCCCGACGTTTCGAGTACTTTGACGAACGGTGATTAAATAAATCATGTTATAGATTTTTGTTGATATTGTTACTCCCATTTAAGGTGGGTGGTAGGGTGACAAAATTGATTTTACTAGCTATTCTGTCAGCGTGTTTAGTTTATTGTTGTGGTATAAATAATAATGAAAGGACATCAACATAAAAGAAAATTTTAGCATTGGAGGCAGAACTGTAAGTGGGCGCTGAGTACTTATGGTAAAAAAGTAATAATAGTAGTAGTTCTTCGCCTCTTGTTCCAAGATAAATTGTGTGATAATTTAATTTAAATCTAAATAAACATTAAATACCAAATAAAAAGCAAAAACAATATATAAGATAAAATGAGAAGCACTTTTACATTGTAGTTCTAGTATACTGTAGTTGATACATAAGTACCACGAATATAAGCTAATATGACTACCATTTGGAACTTATGCTACTCGTATTACCAATGCGAAATATTGCTTGACGCTCGGCAAAATAAATTAATGTCTTTGCCCAAGACGATGTACAAGAAAAAACAAAAACAAGAGCAAACGTAAGTATCTATTTCTAAGGCTCAACATTGGTCATTTTGTTAGTAAAGGAGACGATCGTCCATCTGGTTTGCTCTTCTGCTCAAGTGCACGCACTTGGGAACAATCTTGAGTTTATGATCTTATTAAAAGATATACCTTAAGTTGCGTAAAACATTGTTAACTGATGGACGCACTAGATAATAAAACGAAACTCGACTCTCAAGTATACAAAATATCAATGCGAGTGTCAGCGTTCAATACCAGCTTCTTCAGAGTCGGTGTGTGCTGATAATATTACACCACCACCAAAACTCTATGACAGTGCCATAGCAGAGGAGGTTGAAATGATTAAAATAAAAAATAACTGAAATATTTAAAAAAATATATAATTGTGTATAGCGATGACATGGGAAAAATCTAGGCATAACTTTAAATAACCCTGTAAAGGGACAAAAAATTACAAATTGCTGCATGCCTGGAGTATCTTTTAGTGACATCCTAAATAAAATATAGTTACTAAATTTTTCCCAAATAGTGTAATAATAATTTTTGTTGGTAGAAGAGGCAGTGCAAACACCAAGCAGTTATTAAGATATATTTAACAAATTAATATATTATATGTACACAAAATTGTCTTGTTCACATAGTACATACTTCATTTAAATTTAAAAATGAATAATTTAATATGTAATAACAATTTAATTGACATAAATAATTTAATAAAATAGTTTTGGACAAAAGACAGGTATTACCTATCCAAATATAATTTAAAACTGGCAGCAAATGTGCTATCTTTTTATTTAATTTTAGCTCAGCCATGTTTTTGGCTACCAATACTTATTTTATTGAGCATCATAATTATTTGATATCTAATTTGGAAACATTTCCAACTAATTTAAATTAGTGAATGCGACAATAGAGGCAATTTATTAGCAATAATAAGAGTTTAATTAATTTAGAATGCAGCCCACATATAAGTAATAAAAATTGTTTACACCTGGTGCATCAAAATATACAAGGCATGATGAACAAAGGATTGGAAGTTAAATTGTTTTTAAATAGTAACAACATACATATTCTTTGTATTACTGAACATTGGCTAAAAGTTTATAATCACATAAAGGTCACCAGGTGGTCAGGTCCTCAATATTAGACTTACCTTCCCTTGTAGGGGATAATCGTGATATAGTATTATTTGCTGATGATACTTCCTTTATTTTAAACTTAAACGTCAATCATTAAAATATATGGAAGTGAATAATGGTATATGAAAATGATTGCATTATTTTAACATTAATAATTTACATTTTAACGGAAATAGCACTAAATGTATTAAATTTACATCATCGAATGTTAGAAACCTGAATACCAATGTGTTTTTAAATGGGAAAGAACTGAGCCCTGTTGAATCCACTGTTTTTCTTGGCATCACTCTTACGCAAAGCTTCAGTGGGGTCTCCATATATCAAAACTAGCAAGCAGACTAAGTTCTGCAGCCTATGCTGTAAAAAAAAATAGAGATCTCACTAGTGTCGAGACAGCTAGATTAATTTATTTCAGTTATTTCCAATGACTTATAGGATTTTGCTTTGGGGAAATGCGGCTGATTCTGAAAATATTTTTGTTTTACAGAAGAGGGCCATTAGAGCTATTTACAACCTAAAATTGAGAGAGCCTCTTAGAGATAAGTTTAAATAAATAAATATGTTAACTTTGACCTTTCAGTATATTTGCTTTATTATTAGTTTCGTAATAATAATGAGCCATGCTTTTACGTGAGAGAGCCATGCTGCAGCTATATTTCTGGTATAGTTGTAACATGAATGGGTCGGCTCAACCAGGGAAGGACCACATTCTCACAGAATACAAGCGTAAAATAGCAGCTTAACGCTGATGTGTTTCGTATGGTGAGTGTAGAGAATCGGAGACCATTTTTACTGGAAACGAGGCATTCCATCTTAGTCGACACGGCTGACAACGCATCTGTATTTTGATTCATAATCGAGGATAAATGTAGATGTCTATGGGCCACAGCAACCACTTACCATCAGGTGGACTGTGTGCTCGTTTGTCACCCTTATTCTATAAAAAAAGTTTCAGTAAAAAGTGATATACATTCTGTAAACACTAGGAACACACACAAACTAGTGATACCATTTTCTTAACCCCACAGAGTCAGTAATTCATTCTTGGGGCAATGTTTACGCTATTACAACAAGGTCCCGGGAAATGCACAGGCTCTCTCTATTACCAAGTTTAAATGTTTTGTTAGGCTGAAATTGTATAAAAAGGGTTATTTTAATATAAACGAATACATGGTAAATAATAACCCCTGGGAATGAGGTGGTCGCTTCCAAACAGTTTCTAAAATAAATTTTGTAAATAGTTTATACCTACAACCATTAAAGTAAAATTTACTTTAAAAAGGTTCCGCTGGGTTTCTTGCTGGTTCTTCCCAGGACAGAGGGTTTTTTCGAACCAGTGGTAAAGTAAAAAATGACTTTCAATAAGAATTACACATGTGATCTACATTGAATAAAAAATATTCTATTTTATTCTATAATTGGTGCGTTTACTTGAAATGCTAAAATCTATGTGCATGCGGTCCGTGACCTGAGATCGTGGTTGTAGTAGTGCGAATCATGTTCAATCAGTTTGTAAATATTTTAACTGAAATTGTAATACATTAAAATAGTGTAGTATTATGATATTTTACGGACTTCGCGAAATAATTTACTACAAATCTATTTTTCCTGTGGTGAGTGTGGAGAATCGAAGCCCCTTTTACCGGAAATGACGGTCTAATATAGTTCTCACGGGTGACAACGCATCTGTATTTTGATTCGTAGTTGAGGATAGATGTAGATGTCTACTTAGCATTAAGTGGTGTGCCCGATTGTCACCCATATCCAATATTAAAAAAAAGATTTCATGGTGATCTTTTACGATATATTATAATTTATACAACGACAGTATGTACTAAATCCCGCATTATTTGACTTCCCGCATTGATTTTGTTGTAAGATGTCAGATGAAGTTTCCATAAACTTTCATTGATATAAATAAGTATTACAAACCGGACTAATAAAAATCCCTAATTTTATTAAGTCATACACTAAATGTATTTATCGACACCGTTTTTTGTTTCGCTAATTGCACATCAATAGATATGTCTATGGAATGGAAAAGGGGCAACAACCTTGTAAAAGAAAAAGGGGATAATAATATAACTATCTTATTTTATACCGTATTAAACGTCATAGGTATTAAGAGTTCAGCTATAAGAGTTTTGATCTTATTTTAGGACTCTCTCTATGCTACTAATTACTCTGAGGTGGCGTCACTTTTTTGACACTGAGTAGTAAGCATTTAAGTCGTATTATTCGGTTAGAATTTACTTGTTAGTCTGTGGTCGTATTTAGAAATATATCCTACACAAAAAATTTAACAATTTAAGGCTTTCTTAACTAAAAAATAAGTTTATACTGTAAAATGTGATGATAATTTTCTAAACTTGTGTCAACGTTAAGTAATTGATCATATCCTTGACTCACAGAAAACTATCCCAAGTACAGCATCTTGAGGCGCTGATCTTGGTAACTGAGATACTGTTTTTATTTGGTTATTAAATAGCAACGATCTTAGGATGTCAACATCGAAATGAGGGCGTTTCAAATGATTACGCACTCGAATTCGTCGTTGAGGATAGTTTATTAATACCTTTACCTATTATTGTACTTTACTGACATTCTATTGTAAGTTTTATTGGCAATCAGAGTATAATTAAACATAAACTTACTGAAATAAAATAATAAGACAAACCATACCTCTATAGCGTCGCGAAGATTGATGCTGTTGAATACTAACAGTATTGTATGACCAGAAATTACCCAAGCCATTGCCAACGCTCTAATTCCATCAATGCATTCTAGTGAATCCGGCCCATATTTAAAGGTTAGAAGACGTCGAGTGTTTGTATATACGGAAAATGATCGATAAATCGTTCTAATTTCCTTAGAATCTACAATGATTGGCAACATTTAAAAAATATTATATAAGTCATGTGGTATGTTATGTTATTATAAACAGTATGTTATGTCTACTTAACTAAATGTAACACTTAACACAACTACTAAACATACAACAATATAATATTGCATAATTAATAGTATGTAATATTTAAAGACGTGGTAGCACAGGGACATAGTAATCGCTTTAATATTATGTTAATAAATGTTTCATATTGTAACTTGATTTCGACCATTGAATTGACCCGTGCCGATATCATTGAAATTATTGCTTGCAATTGAACATGCCGATTTACAACGTGCATGTCTAAAATTTAAAAGCTTTTAGTAGGCATGTGCAGCCCGCACATATCTAACTAGACAAGCCACTCTTTTCTACTCTTTAAAATAATTTGATAAAATGATACATTTACTTGGAAGTGGTTTATAAGTACATATACATTATTTTATTTCACAATAAACTTAAAACTAGAATACGGGAAAATAAAGCGCTGAATTACAATTTTGCAATAGCAATAAAATATTCTTTACCTTTTTTGAGTATTAATAAATGTAGAAGATCATAGCTCGTACTGAATAATACTAGTAACCCAATAATTGAAAATAAAATACTGAAACATAAGAAAAATAATTAAAATTTTAACGTTATTTGCTGGTAAACCAAATATAAACGCCTTTTAGTTGCAAGTACTTGAACAGTTAGTTTTGTACTATCCACCTACTTAACAATGATTATTACATTTGATTATGTAAAAATTTTCAACTTTCTTGTTTTAAGAACTTATTAAAGATCTATTTCTGAATTATTCTGATATTTTTTTAATATTAAATATATTTTGACATTTTATTCAATTTTTAAAAACCATACCATATCCTACAATTTTTCCCCAGCTGAAAAACTGTATGTAAAATGTAAAAACTAACTGAAAAATTGTAGGGTGTGTATGGTAGTAAATATTGTTTTAGGATAAAACCCTGAAATAATATTTATATAAATATTGTTCATGTTGTTTATGATTTGTCTATAAATAGTGACTTAATTTGGGAACCTATACTTCCTTTGCTCCATAGATGAATATATTTTTCTCTTTTATTTTTATGGCCGACTGCACTGCTCTCATTTTTAAAAGTCTTGACTTATTAAACCGATTTATTAAAGTATATACATATTTTTCATTCCCTCGCCCTACGTTTGACCCAAATTTTATATATTGTACGTCTAAAACTAAGCCATCACAATTTATACTGTGCTTAAGTCAAAATAGAACCTCAATTAATTATAAATAAAATCGGCCATGCGAACATCGATATGAAAATATAAAAGTTTATTTTTTTATTTTATGAAAGAAAACGTTTGATATACATAATTGCATATTATGTTTAAACTTCTAGATCGTGAACAATTATTGGTAGGCCATATAAACACTTGTTCCTTGCGGGATTCGGACCCGCGCCCGCGGCACGACAGTACTGTAGAGCCAGTAATTGCGGGTTACAAACTTAGTTCCACTTTTAAAATTTAGCCTCTGCGCTACCAGGCTGCCAATATTTGTTCCGTTTTAATAATAATGGTACCAAAAACATTTTAAAATAACTCTTACATAGCGGCATAATCAGCAGGGACCCATGGCTTATCCCCTGGAAGACGACAGAAATCATCCTCATATTGAAGAAATCGAGTAATGTTAAAATAAAATGCAGATAACGCTTCACGTGTTGTGCACGATGCAGGTATACAAACAGCTACATTTAATTTTAAATCGGGGCTCTGTGATCCAATCCTTCAAAGGAAAAAAAAACTGATTATTGTGTATTATCAGTTCAGTCGGCTACAACTAGATGCACCCGATAGCGGTTGATTGAACTTAGGTGTATTATGGTTTATATTTTAGACTTTTGCTTCATATTTTTGATATGGCCAAACGTGAATGGGCAAATCGAAAAACGGCTTTCGTACATTTACAAAGACAAAGTTTTACCCGAAAGCCACTGGGTCGCTACTAGTTTTGTCATAGATAAATTGAATAAAACTAAGTTTAACTAACTGCAATCAGCTGCGCCTATTTGTAGCCTACTGAATCTAGATGAGTAAGCAATTAAGGTTTAGCCGTTACATACTTATATAAATAAATATCACATGAAATTTAGCTTTTAAACCATGAAAACCTTACAAGATACTTGATTTAGCAGAATATTAAACAATACAAAAGCTAACCTATGACATTTAATTTATTTTCGGAACGTCTACCTTTCAGTATAATAATAAAAAAATAGATAGTATAGGCAAGTCGTATCGGTAACCTTACTACGATGATTGGTAGCAGCAACATAAAGGTTTAACAATTAGGACAGGCTTACCTTGTATTAAATTGTTATAAGAGGTAAATAAAATGTCGGAAACATTCTATCTATTCAATTAAACTGGTTTGATATAAATGAAACTAAATTAATTAAACATAACGGGCTGGCATGCGAAGTCTGCCAACCAGAATTTATAGGCAACCTTATCTTATTTTCTTTTCCAATTAGCTATCGTATTGTATTTATGGATAAGTATGCTATTTAAATTACTGGTACGGCGTGACGATAATTCAAGAATAATAGGATAAATCATAAGAAAAAAAAAATGTTAATCATTACCTTGTTTTAAATTCATGAAGACCAAACATTGTTTTAACATAATTTTCTAGTTTATCATATGCACTTAACCTGCTTAATGTATCGCTATGTGAATGTGAAGTAGTTACTTCTGTGTTATGCCACTTTGATAATAAGAAACTTGAAATTTGTAGACTCTGGTTCGTTGGTACTTTTATCATGCAATACTTTCCTTGAATATCACTGCCTTCAAGTGCCTCATTTATGTTAATGCATTGTTTGTAATTACCTAAATCAACAATATTCCCCAAAAGTATACTTCTTGGAATTCGTATGCCGGCATCATAGACTGAAAATGATAAATTGCTAAAAAATATTTTTTCCTTCGTATTTAGACTCTATTTGAATAAATCATAACTCATATTATAGAGATTAGGATCCTCTAACCAAAATCAATAAATATCACACTATCAGACTATAACTGCAGCCAATCATAAGTCTACTGCTGAATATACCTATAGGCCTCCCACATCAATTGCCACAAATTACGATCCTGAACAACCTGAATCCATCGACTGCCCACGAGTTTTATCTGGTTGTCACTCCATCAAGTGGAGGACCGTCGTACATTTCGTTTACCGGTACGAGGCTGCCAATCAAAAACCTTTCTTCTCCATCGGTTATCTGTTCTACGAGTTATATGGCTATCTCTTTCCCACTTCAGTTTTCAGTTTTTATCATTGCTACAATTTAAGCTCCCAGAAAAATTCCGAGCATAACCCAACCAATCACACACTGAGTGACCAATAAGAGAAACATAATCTAGTTATCAATATCCTTAAGACACATTATAAAACCACTATTCAGCATTTTAATTAAATTATCAGCTAAAATATAGGTCATCGAACAACCCTTTTAAAATTATATATTTAGGCCATTGAGCAGCATTTTGAGTGCCAGGCTAATTTTCAACTTTCCACTCATTCTTAACAGAGAGCACGCAAGCATTAAAGACAGGACAATCACACAAATGTGTCTTAAATAAATAACCAAGATCTCTCTTAACGGTATGCAAAGTGATCCCAACCTATATGGAGGTACCAGCCTAGTAAAACATGCAGGAGGTCAATGGATACAGGTGGCTCAGTACTGTTGTTGTAGTATTCCTTGGGAAAGCATATATTCAGCAGAGGACTTCTTTAGGGCTGTAATTATGGTGATGATACATGAGACGATGCGATTAAATAATTTAATGCTCAACAGACAAATGTTTCTCTCCCAGCAGGTTTTAAACCTGAAAATTCTAGACTCCCAGGCAGCGCTAATATCGCTTTTTACAGATCGATGGTTGAGAACAGTCTGTTGAGTTATTAAAATTCAATTATAATAAAGCGATTTTTTTATTTTAATAGAATATTATAGAATAAGTTTTACTCAATATACATTACAAGAGACTCTTTTTCTCTAAGTGACTCCTCAATCCAGGTTTAGGTTATAAATTGCTTCAATGGCCCTCTCCTCTCTTGTTTTTACTATTCTAAGCCAGTGTTTAACTATAAACCTACCTGAAAATAAGTGGTGATATAGCCTAAGATTTTAAAGCGCACTAACTTAACAAAAGCCTATTCACGTCTTGAAGACAGATGCTGGCAACTTATTCCACTGTCTTTCATCTCACTGTCTTAGTAGTATAAAAGTTTCATTATTTCTACAAAATTAACGTCATACAAATACTTACATTTTAGTAATAGTAGTGTACTATTCATCGTAATATACGTTAGTTGTTTTTGACACAGTTCTGGATTTAATACATCTTCATATAACGTTCTATTAAATGGATAATTAGCTGCATTTTGATTTACTACATTAAATACTGTCCCTTCACAATACCTAATTAACACGTTGGCTGCCATGGGGGGTCAAAATGACCGGCACTTGGTAGAAGCGTTGGGGCCATGGGGGGCTTAAATGACCGGCACAACTAAGGTGAATTTGAACACCTTTTGCTCGCTGTCGGCCATGCGTGTAACGTAAAATACCATTAGAAGTGGCCGGCGCGGCCCCAATGATCACTTTAGATAACTTGGCCTCAAAATATTTTTATAATTTTTTGGTTGTAGGAATGTTTTTGTAGCCAGTCAAACAAAATTATGATGTAAATTAAAGACAATATACTTTTTAAAATATTTTTATTATTATAAATCAAAGACTAGTGTTATTTAGAGACACATTATTTTGTGTTGAGATCAAAGTTATTTAAAATTAAAAAACAAACAGAAAATTAATGTTTTTTATCAAAACACAATCTGCACAAATATGGCTTGTCTGGGCAAACTGAACAAAATGTTGTAACCTTTTTGGTTTTGTTTTTGGCAATTTTTCTTCCATGCGTTTGTGAATTAATTTTGTAACAACCTACACAAAATTTTCTTGACGTCGCAGCCTTTCCGTCTGCTTTTACAAGAGAATGTTTTATTCTCTTTGGCCTACATGGAATGTTAGCTCCATCACGTGGGTTTGATTCAATCATTTGTTGTGACAGTTTTCGTCTAAATTCAATAATAGGTATCTTCTTTTTTGTTGTAGCTTCATATAAAACCCGAGCATTTACTACAGCTGTGTTTAGAAGCAGTTCTAAGGCCAACTTCTTGTACCACTTGATAGACTTTCGAAGCGGAGAAGAATACGCTGTCATTTGATCCGAGAGGTCTACTGCTGCCTTAGCTTTATTATAATCCATAATTATCTTCGGCTTAATCACCTCTATTCCTCTCTTATTTTTAGTTTTTATAAATCCTATAGAGTGTTTAGTTGACAGTAGACAAACTTCACGTTTGTCCCTCCATTTCATAACTGTAATTCCCTTACTGTTTTCTTTGGCTGCAAACTCACCAGGCTTTAATTGGGCTTCCATCACGTATTTCGGTAAGTACTTTCTGTTTTTGCGTAGAGTACCAATAAGATGTGTCTCATTGTCAATTAACTTTTCTGCCAAATCCAAACTTGTGTACCAATTGTCTACAAATACAGAATAGCCCTTTCCTAGTAAATCCTCACACAGTCTGAGCACCACATTTGTCGGTGTAGAAAAAGCAGAATCGAGTTGTTTTCCAGAATAAACCTCAATTTTCCAAGTGTATCCGGGAACAGTACATAATTTAAATAGTTTGATACCATATTTATGGCGTTTTTGCTTATTATATTGTCTAAAGATTACTCTACCACGAAATGGAATCATGCTCTCATCCACACAAAGATATTCATTAGGTGTATAGTGGTAAGCAAAATTAGCATTCAAGGTACTTAGAAGATTGCTTATTTTCCATAAACGATCATTTTCACGAGCCTCCTCGTTATTAGAAAAATGCAACATCCTCAGTAATATTTCAAACCTGTTGCGGCTCATAATATTTTTAGCGAACGGTTGTGCATACATTGAGTTATTAGACCAATATAGTGCCAGTTTTGGTAATTTCACCAAACCCATCCAAATTATAAGACCAAAAAATTTCTTGATTTCTGTTTTATCAGTGTCCTTCCACAAGTGTAGCCTGGATTGCCGCGATAATGGACTTTTAGATAAAACTTGCGTGGCAAAAATATTGGTCTGTCTAGCTATATCTTCTAACAGAGCCTCTGGTACCATCAAATTATAAAAATCACCAGGTTGACCGCCAGCTAAAGCGTGTCGCAAATGCATCGGCTTCAAACCAGAAATTTCAGTGTAAGGTATTATCTTAGGTTGTTTACCTTGTGGTTCATGCCATTCCGTATTTGGAGTGTAACCAGACTCTGACGGTGAGGGTACAAGGACTTCTTCGTCTTCAGTATCAGATGACACTATGCAGCGCTTCCTTGCACGGCGATTTGGAAACCGAATAACCTCTTCATTATCACTTAAATGACTCTCCGTCTCACGAAATTGGGATTCAATATGTTCTATTTCACGAAAATCATCTAAAGTTAGATCCAATTCGTCAAACAACATGTTCATTTATAGCTTTTATATAAAGTAATAGCAATAAACTAGAATATTACGTGACCATTTAGCGCGCACTCCGACCTATGACAAATAAAACTTTCCACTGAGTTGTTTACCTTCAATTACAAAAATATTATTCGCACAGGACGCGGAAGAAATGTCATGCGGGGGCAGCGGGGAAGGGACGCAGCATGCACTATCCTAATATTTCTTTATACGTCACTCATCAGTAGCGCGCTCGCTCGGGCGCAGGATGGTTTTGGCGGGAATTTTTACGCGATTTACAAGGATGACCGGCGATTTGACCGGCGTGGCTCCAATGAAAAAAAAATTACATTTGCGCCGCGCCGGGTGTAAATGACCGGCGGACTAAAAACAGCACATCATATACAAAAAAATGTATATAAACATATATTATGTATAGAAATCTTATAAATAAGTCGTTTCACGTCATTTAAACAACTGATGAAAAACGCAAATATATTCGGATTTCCATATGGCAGGCAACGTGTTAAAAAAATAACTAATAGAAATTCAAAACTGCTTTTCTGCATATTCCTATTGACAATACGAGTACATACACTATTCGTGAACTCCAATAGACACCTGCTAATAAACCATGAGGGTGCTATTAGTTGCAGTATGAGATGCTTAGTAATTAATACTATCTTATCATTGTTTAAGTTACACTTGATAAACAGAGTGTTGCAATTATTATGTGATTGAATACACATATTTATCAAAACGTGGGCTGAATTCTAAGGGCAACATCCGATACGACATAATAAATTATACAGTGAATTGAAAATCAAGATTTAATAAAAACACATTAAAATTATTATATCATGGAAGAGGAAAATGAAAACATGACTTTTTTATTCGTTTACGTCAGTCATCAGAAGATAATGATGATGACAAACATCTTATTTACCTTTTTATTTACAGGTTATATTTCACAATATTTTCCTTTGTCCGCAAGTGATAGCTAAACAAAGCACGTCCCAAAGAGCAATCACATAAAATCTAAGCGTTAATAGATAATCTATCACTTACGTACGTTAAAAAGTTAACAACTTAAATATTCGGATAAAACATTACTTTAATGGAATAAATTTATTTGTCAACGGACTCACTTCATGGATACGATCGCTTGAAATGGGTTAAACGTGTGTGTTTACGCATTCAGTCACTCAATACCAAAGTTTTCAACCCAGAAGTTTATTGCTTCAACCTCTTACTGGAACGTGTTCTGAAAAGTTATACGAGAACTTATAAATAATATATTACTACCAGTATAATTTAATCATATTTGTAAAATTAAGTTAGAATCATACGTATAAAGATATTTTTTAAACAAATTAACGCGGGCAAGGTGTACTAACGAATCGTAAAACGAAATATATTTGAAACGGATATCTCGAAAGGAGTTTAAATACATTCATTTCTTTTGCGAAATTTCGAAGGCGGTTTTACGAGTACAAACTGAAGGTTTAATTGAAATAATTGTGAAGAAGACGTTTAAGAGTACTAATATTCACAAATCTACATCATGATTAATAGATGCTATGGCACATCGACACCTATCTACATCTATCTTAGATAAAAAATCAAAATTCAGATGCATTCTCACCCGCAAGAACTCCGATATAAGATTAGAGCGAATAATTCGAAGTTTTTACACTTTTGGAAATATAAAGTCGTGGAAAAAGATTCTTCATACTTTATGTACACATGCAAGAAATTTGTTTTCAAAGTTTCATTACATTTAATTATAATATATAAGGGGCGACAGTGAAAGTTTTTAGAACTCGCCACTTTTAAACGATATAATAAAAAAATAAGATTAGATTTTGAAAATGAAACTCTTTGCCAATATTATTGTTTTTTTTATCTTCACGCACAATCCCTGACGGGGTAGCCAGAGAGAACAGATCGCCAAGTGTCACGATCCTTACAAACCTCTTTCGCTTCTTTCAGATTCATTATCTTCTTAATGCATGCACGTCTAGGTATCCGAGTACTTTTGACCCTACCCTCTTCGAGCAATTTGCTCACATGGTCTTCGAAAGTTAGTCTCGGTCTACCTCGACACCTTTTAATATTAACTTTTGCGCTATATATTTTCTTCACCATTCGGTCTTCACTCATTCGCTCAACGTGCCCAAACCACCGAAGCACGCCCTTATCAATTTTTGTGATAAGGTCATCTTTCAAACCTGCCATATTGCGAATCTCTTCGTTTCGCTTTCGGTCGGCCATGGTAACGCCGCACATTTTACGAAGAGATCGCATCTCCACTGCATTCAACTTACTTTTATTCTTCTTCTGGCATACCCAGGTTTCGCTGCCATATAACAAAGTCGGTACCAACACTGCGTTATGTATTGCAAGGCGTGCACTCATTGACTTTGTTCCCGGCAGCGACACGCCTGTCCACATCTAAATCACATCTTCCATCCCGGCTAAAAGCACTCCCCAAGTATACAATTTCATTCACCTGTTCTAGACATTCCTGATTTACCCATATTTCACACTTCGTTCTCTCTTCGTCCCTTTCAAATACCAGAACCTTAGTTTTTTTAGCATTCAAACGGAGACCTTTAATTTCACATTCCTCTTTCATACACGTGACTAATGCCTGCAGTTCTGCCTCTGATGGTGCAATAAGCACTGCATCATCAGCATACAGCAGACAATTTACTTAATTGTCACCCAATTTCACACCCAAACAACTATCTTTCAGCCTCTGTAAACAGCTGTCGAGATACAGTATGAACAGCCAGGAAGACATGACACAACCCTGCTTTACGCCCGTTTGGACGTTAAACATAGGTGACAGGTCATGCCCTACCCGCACACAGGCTTTACAGTCACAGTAAAGAGACTGCACAGCCCTTAGCAATCGACCATCCACACCATACCCCGGCAACAGTTCCCACATTTTCTTCCTTACAACCTTATCAAATGCTTTCTCAAGATCCACAAAAGCACAGAAAATCTTCTGGTTAGCAGCGAGAAGCTTCTCCGTGATCATGCGGAGAGAAAACATTTGATCCGTGCACCCTCTTCCAGGTCTAAATCCGCATTGTGCCTCCCATAGAAATCTTTCCGATTTCTCTTGCATCCTACGTGTCAAAACCTTCGAGTAAACTTTACTTGCTAAACTGGTCAAGCTGATCGCCCGATAGCACCCGCAGTCAAAATGTGAACCTTTACCTTTATATAAAGGCACAATGACTGCGGATCGCCAATCATCCGGGACATCCCCCGTCCGCTAGCACAAATTGCACAGCAGATGAAAGCTGTCCCAGACGCGAGGCCCACCATACTTGACCATTTCAGCAGTAACTCTGTCTAGTTCCGCAGCCTTACCACATTTCAAACTTCGAATCGCACGTTCAATCGCTTTCATCCTGATGACCTCAGTGTCATCGAGGTCCGGGTCTGGCGTACCAGTCACGGCGTCATCCCCGGATCCCTCACTAAGATCATCACACGCATACATTTCTCTATAAAATTCGCTCCATCGCTGCATGACGTCCGATTTTTCTGAGAGGACGTCATTAGTTCTCGAAAGCACTTTGTTTATTCTTAAGGCCGTCGCACCACTTCGGGTCCTTCCAACCTATTTCCAGAAGAGTTTGGAGTTCTCCTTAAAGTTGTGCGACAACCTTTCGTCCGCTTCCATTCTACACCTTTCACGCACTTCCTCAATCAGTGCTTTCGTGTGAACTTTCTGCAGCCTATATCTTTCTTTCATCTTCTCTCTCATATCCTTATCATTACTAGAGGCCAAGTAGTCTAACCATGCTTTCTTCTTCTTCTTCTTTACAGCTTCTTTCACTTCATCATTCCACCATGCATCTCTTCTTTTACTACTGCCTCTTTTTATTGTTCCACACACTTCTTCCGCTGCACTTATATTCCATCCCTAAGGTTCTGCCAAGTTATTTCTACACATTCTTTTCTGCCATCGATGGTGTCAAGCTTTTCGGCTACCCTCGCATGATATTTGTCCCTAGTATCCGCTTCCTGAAGCTTCCAGCTTCGGATGCGACAGACCGACTGTGGTTCTGTTACTGCCGTCCGGTAGCGCCAACCCGCGAACAGACCCCTAAATCTAGTAATCACTAGATAGTGATCCGTTCCCAGGTCAGCACCCCTGAACACTCGCGTATCCATCACCTGTTTTCGCAGTCGGTCATCCACCAGGAACAAATCAATCATACTTTTCTCATTCTTTCGTTCTCTAGTATACATATAGATTTTCTTGTGATTAAACATAGTGTTTGTCACAAGAAGACCCTTTTCCTTGCACACCGCCAGTATAAGCTTACCAGCATCATTAACCCTTTTATCGCCAAACTTTCCAAGTACCGACTCGTACCCTGGTCGAGCGGTACCAACCCATCCATTTAAATCACCACATACAACAATTCTTTCGTTTCCCCTAGCCAAATCTAGAACTTCTCTTACTTTCTCCCAAAACTCCTCCAGCTCAGCCCTGGACGACGAAGCTACCGGCGCATAAACAGCCAAAAGGAATAACTTTGTCAGTCCGAATTTAAAGCGAACCCAGAGAAGTCTTGAGTTCACAACCTTATATTCAGTCAACATCGACCAACCGAGAAGACAGCAGCACCCCCACTCCCTGGCAGGCGTTCTCGCTCTCCGGGACTCCTGACCATAGAGCTAACGCTCCGCCAGGGAGCTCTTCAGTACCACTGCCCTTCCGTTTGGTTTCCGACATACACACGACATCTAATTCTCTTTCTTCATTATTTCGATCAACTCATTCGTCTTATCTCTCATGCCTCCTCTAACATTCCACGTGCCAACTTTGCACTCTGTCCTCCACCTTCCGCCGTGTCGGGCTGTGCGTGACGGGTGGCGGTCCCCATCGCCGCTTTGCACGCTGCATTCCACACCAACGGGGACGAGCTGGTGTGCGTCGCCTTGGGGGGACGCCCTAACTCTCGTTGGCATGGGTGCGCAGCTAGTAGAATTGCAGC